ATTCACATGATTTAACGATAACCGGGCAACACTTCGTTGCCTAAAACGATCGATTCTAATAAAACCGAGAGTTTTATTGAGAAACCGGGCTCTGCGAGGGTCGGGCTTCGAAACCGAAAAAATAAATTTCCCGGGTTTCTCGGGCACTCCGGGACGTATTCCGGGCGTTGGAATTAATCCCGGGGCTTTGGGGAAGTTGAAAATAGCTAAAATATTGAAAAATGGGTGAAAAATGACAAATTTGGAATTCTACCCGGAAGATCTCGCAGCCCTTCTACCCGGAAGATCTCGCAGCAGCAGGGAGGCTCGGACACGGCAGTTGGCATGCTTCGGACGCGAGGAGTCACCGGCTTCAGATGTGTCATCGGCTGGGTCTCCGGCTCGGACATCTGTGCGACACGCGTCGGATGTGCGAGGGCCGAGACTTCGGTCGAATCCGGAAGCGACACACGACTGCTAGCTGCTCGGATGACTCAACCATTTCGGACACGTGGCACATTTTGGGCGAGGGTGACGTGGCCGAAGCCACCTATGCGAAATTTCTCGTTTTTTGTGCAAAAACTTCTAAAATCCATAACTCTCGTATACAAGCTCCGTTTTTGACGTTCTTTATATGCACGCGTAGGTAAAGTTATGCTCTAGAACTTTCATTTAGACTTCGTCGGCTAATTTTGAATATAATTTTTATATTATTATTTTTAACAGACCGAGACAGGAAATCCGTTAAAAATTCATAACTTCTTCATCCGACGTCCGTTTTCGTCAGACTTTTTACCGTTGTACTACTATTTACGAGACCATCGATTCTCTTTTAGGTCGTGTTGGCTAAAAATCACTCGATCTAAAATTCGAGTTTTTAGCTGTCTACTGCTAAGCTGAAACTTCGAAAAATCATAACTTCCTCATACGAAGTCAGATTTGGGCGTTCTTTTTATACCTACTCTCGGTTTAACGAACACTACGGGTTTCGTTTAAATCACTAAGCCTAAAAAGTAGTTTTATCAAAAACTACCTTTTTACGACATTCGGTATCGTGCCGGTTTTGTCGCGAAACTTCGACAGGTCATAACTTCTTTGTTATAACTCGGATTTTGGTATTCTTTATATATCTGTAATCCTTGTCACGCCCACTACAAGTTTATTAATAGATATCGGCTTTATCTAATATTTATTTTCGACACTCATTTTTATTCTTAATTAATTAAATCGTAGTAATTAAGCATAAAACATATAATACACATAATATTCACATAATTCCTTTTCATTTCTTCAAAATGAGTTACAAAGGTTAACCTAGACTATAACGTCAATCTTAATGCCTAGCCTAGAAATACGGGCGTTACGTCTTCACTACGAATCGGTGCGAACGTTCGCAGGCTTTCGCAGTCAACTCTTCATTTACAATCTATTTTATCGATGCGAATCAATGCGAACGTTCGTAGTAGTTCGTAGGGTACTGTTCATTCATTGTTTGATATTTCATATATCCTTTTGTACATTTTGTATATCATTGCTTATCTTTATTTTCAATTTGTATGTTTTGTTTTTTTAATTAATTAATTTTTTTATTTTATTTTATTTTTAGAATATCTCCAAAACAAAAAATAATTTATTTGTTTTATTTTATTGTTTTTCAGAAAAATCAAAATCACAAAAATATTTTCAATTTGTGTCTATTTTTTATTTCTTTTCTTTTTACAAAACATTAAAAATTCCAAAAACTATAGATTCACGCGAAGATCATAGACGAAGATGTTCGCAACATTTATCAACTCATGTGATTTAGCAGGTATAAATCTCGTTACTTATGTATTAGCTAAGTGTCACTAGAAGCATGATGTTGCATGTTGACCTAAGCCTCAACGACTCGACTGTGAAGCCTTAACAAGTTGATACCGACAATCAATTCTTCCAAATCAGGCTACGAATTCACATTAGTCATGAACTACCTTACTCTTCTCGCATTGAGTTAAGAGTTATCTGCATGGTGACTTTCGCATTACAGAGATACTTTTCACTCTCTTGTAACCATCTACTCTCTTCTCCATTACTTTCACTTCCATACATGTAACCCTTGAGACTCTCAGAAATTACCACTGAGGTTTATAGTTACACAAACATCCGTGTTAATGATCTTAGTTTCGTTCCACCACGAACTGAGTGAAACCCAACATTCAATACCTTATATGAGTTGACGGTGAACAATCAAACGTTCTAGTATTTTCACCCAAGAATTAATGAAAGTCCACATTCGTGGTCAGTACCAAGAAATCCCTTTTCTTATGAGAGATCCTAATGAAGTGTTCTCGTCCCAAGACATTTCTTCCAATGGATCCAGTTTAATTTTTTTTTTAGATTTCAATATTTTTCCAAATCACTTAAAATGAATTCCAAACCTACTCATTCAACTGATTACGCCGGTCACACGAGTACCTTTTCTAACTTTCGCACTTATGTCAAGTTCGTAGTTTGGTTGAAGGATGAACCACCTTTATAAGCCTTATTAAAAGATGCCTTTCAGTGTTTCTCATCAAACATTTGATCGTATTCAACAGGAAACCACACATACACTTCTTAGTCTCTCTTGACTATGAAGAAAAAGATCTTTGTTTGGGATCAATAGATTTATGTCTCTAGTTAGACATCACAACATCCCACAGATAAACTTCGTTTTATTTCTTTTTCTTTGACACTCTTGCACGAAGATCCTAGTGATTTTCCAAAGGTCTAGTTCGTGGTTACAAATAATTTTCAAGTTCGCAGTTGTATGAATTCAACGTGCTTACTCTACTGCGAAAGAAAATGAGCTGGCGCAGAAAGTTTTAAAAGAAAAGAATTTAAACGGACGCGTGCAAATTTGAATGGACAGATATTAATACGCCGCATGACACACCCTTCTGACTTATCACAGCTGTCAAATCGCGCTTTTTCAGGCGACGGTTCAGTATTCGAGATACTCTCTCTCTCCGGATTTTCCTCTCAAAATAAAATCGTATATAAGGGTTTTGATGGTTCCATATTTCTTTACCACTTTCAAAATCACTCAACGATTTCTGGCGATGACAAAGCTCTCCACTGTTCATCTTCTTCTTCAAGCTTCTTCAATGGTGGCTTCTTCTGAGAATCTTCCTGTTCAAGACCAAACTGCTCATTCATCTCTTCTGCCTGTTAAGCAACATCAAAACCTCATCATCGATCTGGATCGAGTTAGATATGATCCCTTTCTACTACCTCTTATTGAGTGCCTGGAATACTTCCCTCTCACCATTTCTTTGTGTCGAGTTGAGAATGTTCCACTATCGATTCTCTACAAAGCATACACAATGGCCAACTATGTCAAGGAAGAACAACAGATATACTTCGACATCCATAATCATACAACCACTATTTCCAAAACCCGTTTTTGCAATCTGTTAGGGTTTCCTCAGTCTGAAAACATGGTCAACCCGGAAACCATCTCCAATGCTGCTATCTTGGAAATGTTTTATCAAATGGGGTACAAGGAAACTCTCACTGCTGTTTCCAAGTTTAAGAAACCCAATCTTCCACCTACATGGAACGCCCTATTCACTATCTTGTTCAAAGCCTTTTCTGAAAGGGTCACTGGCAATGACTGTGCAATCAATCTCTTCATGGGTCTGATGTATGGCCTATATACTGGTCAAAATGTTGACTATGGTTCTATCATATGGGCTCAACTTATCCAGAGCACTCACTCTGTTACTTGTCACAGTGAGATATCTTGTGTGAGATTCGGGACCATCGTCGTTAACAGAGAATTTTAGCAGCTCAAAATTCTAGTGATGTCTGATGCACTGATGGCTTCCATTGCAAAATTCCATACAACTGGTATCATTATGGCTGATAGGTCAAAGTTTTCCTTCATCAGCTCGATTCCGGAGGTTATGTTTCATGATGTTCCTCCCTCCAGTAAAATTATAGAGGGTTATCGTTCTCGTACTCCTTCATGACCTCGTCCATTAACTGACGAATTCCAAGCAATTTTGGATGACGCAGATAAAGCTAAGAAAGGGGGCAGAGGGTCAAAGAAAGCTACCAATAAAGACACTGCGAAAGAAGGACCTTCTGAGGCTGCGAAACCTCCCTCTAAAAAGCGAAAGGCTCCTGTTGCTTCTACTGCTGCGCCAAAGCGAAGGAAGCAACCCGCTAGAAGGCGAAAGTCTCTCACTCCTTATCCATCTCAGAGTTAAGGAGACAATTGTGAATCCGATACTGAGTCGGAGATTCACATTGAGGAGGATTCCCCTGTTCGTAATGTAGAAGATGAGCTCGTTCGCACTGAAGAACAAGAATCTGTTCTCAATGAGGAGGTAGAACAGATTCACAATGAACCACCTGTTCGCACTGAGGCCTCATCTCCAAATTGTGAGGTAACTCCACCACTTAATGATTCTATTCCTTCTCCACCTCCCTCACCAAAAACAACTACTTCTATCCCAATCACCATCGGACCTCTGCCACCACCAGTATCATCTCAACCACCCACACCTATTCCAGTCTCAATCCCTATTTTCACAGAATCCACCATTTCGCCCAACACCTCTGTTGCACCTATAATTTCAGTCAATGTATCTGATACGGGGGTTAACATTTTAGGTTTTTCAATCCATGTTACACCACCCATCTCTCCCATTCGCATAGATGACCTGTAAATGATTTTCGGAGATGATGAAGATGATGACTTGGACGAATTCGCTTACATTCCTTTTCAAATAAGGATTGACAGTGAAGATGAAGTCTCTACTATGAAAGGGGAACTCAAATCTCTTCATGAGAAGATTGACCAGCTGATTCTCGCATCCAGAGTCTCCACTTCTGAGGCTTACTCCAAAGCCACTGTTGAGTCAATCCTTGAGCGCGTTACGAAGGAACATACTGCTAATGTCTCTACTTTCTCCAAGGTTGTTTCTGACTCTACCGATGTCTGCAAGACAACGACCAAAAAAGTCGACAAACTAATTTCTGACACAATAGCATTCATGGAGGATTACAAGGACACCTACAACGCCAACACAGCGACTGCGAACAAGCCTATTCAGAACGTTGGTGCCTTGTTCCAAACAAAAAAGGCGAACTTTGTTGAACTTTGCAAGTCGCTTCAGTCTGATCATGAAGCATTCCAGTCTTCTATCGCTGCAAATATCACAAAGCTTCAGGAGGACCTGGTGACAAAAAACAAGCTCATGGATGCTCTCGCCATCAAGGAGGAAAATTGTAAGGTGTTGGAAACAAAGATTCACTACACTAAAAAGCAGGTCGATTATTTACTAGCAGAGAAGGCAGTCACGAGAAGTTGTTTCTCCGACGTTACTGGACTGCTCTCCGATATCACTGAGACTCGTGATCCCATCATATCCATAACAGTAAAGAAGCATTTTTCTGAAAAGCTAAGACCGGTGTTTGCTATGTTACACCGTTTGGAGGGTGTTTCGACGCCGCTGTCTTTTCCGAAACAATGGGGGAGAAGGTAGCTCCAAAGCTCAAATGAATGAAACCCCCAAAGCTCCAATTAAACATCCTGTCATCAAGCAAGAACCAAAGAGAAAAGAAAAGCTATTCAACGATGAACACATTATTGATGATAGCGAAGATGAAGAGCCTGATGAAGCTGAGCTCAAAAGGTGGAAGGCTCGAGAGGCAGAGATAGACGAACATGCTCGCATTTTCAAAGAGGCAGAGGAGGAAGAAAGAGTTGAAAAGGAATCTCAGGCCACTATTAAAAGCAGAATGTTATTATTTCCTAAGTAGACCCTGAAGCGCATTCAAAACCAAGCCGTGGATATGCCAAGCCAGTATTGGTTGGATCAAATTGCTTCCTTTGATATCCAAAACACACAGGATTTGCAATTGGACCTACCTATCACACCAAAGGCGTTCAGGTTTCGTGCCTTTTTAAAGGTTGCTAATGTACCTTTCACAGATAGCACTGCGGATCAAATGTTGTTTGCTTTCTACTTGAAGCACATGATGCCCCAGTTCGAGACTTGGAGTGCGAGCAAAATTGTTGCTGTGAAGGTCACTGGGCCGATCGAGACTGAAAGCTTCCCTAAGGTGAAGTTTTAAGTTGCGAGAGGATCAGCATGTCAAGCATTCAAATTTACTCTCGCAAACCTGCCTTGCTTGAACCCCCATGACTGGATGGTGATATTTAATATTCTGTTGAGAGAGAAGGAGAAGTACGAACCTGTGATGTCCCATCTTCAAATTTTTATCAGGTCTTATATTCAAGAAGTTGTAATGATGGATGTGGATATTGCCACCGTTTTGAGGCAAAAACCAAGTGATGTTCCAAAGGAAGCTTCGAAAGACTTCGCGAAGCTCAAGCCAGGAAAAATTTACAAGGAAGGATGGTTTGTGGTATACACTTCTAGAGATCCTCGAGGAGCAGATCGACGCAAGTTATACTTTCATCTCGAAGAAAGACACTAATTTACTACTTCTTGTCTGGAGTTTATTTAGGAGGTGGTTGCGAAGTTTAAGGGGAACAACAAGGATGACGTGAAGTGTTTCACGGATGTGATTACTTGGTATATTCAAGTTCGCAAGCTGCTGTTGAGCTTCATTCCCAAAGTCTACAAAGTGCAGAAGCGAATCAAGAACTAAATGGTATGGTATCAATTGACGCAAAGGGGGAGATTGTTGAAGATTTAGTGTTGCGTCATTGGGCCTGTTTTGTTTAGTCCATTTTGTATAAACGAGTTGGGCCTGTCCACTCGTATTTGCTGCTAGGGTTATATTATATAAGGTGCATGCATGCTACGTATTTTAGTTAACTCTCATAATTATCTTTGTAACCCTATTTTACGCCTCTACAGAAGCAATTCTTCATTGAGTTCTTCTGAGGCGTGACTGTTAATCATTCAGCACTAGTTTGATCACATTGTGTTCTTGTTTACATGTTTTAATCTATTCGATCATTAAGGATTTATTCCTATCAAGTAGTTATATTGTAATTCCTTGATGTACGAAATAAAGTAGGACGCTATTGTTATAGCAAATGAAACAATTGAAACAATTGAAATTACATTGCTTATGGTAGGTCTAGGAGGGTGTCACTGTCTCTTTACTCATTCCATCTGTCTACATGCATAGAATAGCAACCCAACTATCAATTAAAAACCACTTGATAAATTGATAAAAGTCTTTAACTAAATCAAAAAGATAAAATATTTACTTTTCTTTTGTTGATTTTTATAAAAGAATACAATTAAGATGCCACCAAATTTTGATTTTTATAAAAAAGATAAAATACTTACTTTTCTTTTGTTCGTTAGATGTAATGTACTGCATCCATGGAGAAGAGTAGTTGTCTTCTCTTGTGAATTTGTTCCACTGTTTCTAGCTCTTAAGTCAAAATTACCAATATGAGTAAAATATGTTAATCATTCTATAAGATTAAGAAAAAAGAAATTTTCATTTTGTCATAGTGACCTTTGTGTCTTACATGAAACTCCTTCATCAGTGATATCTACCATCACGCACACATTATGAAAATAATGGTTGAATTTACATAATATCATAATCATATGTGCAAATTAACCGTGACAGAAGCAACTAATTTAAATAGAAAAAGCTGAAGTATATAGTTATCATGGAAAAAAGCTAGTCAAGTATATAGCCTATATTGAAGGTTTATGGGCGATGTTTATTAAAAGTAGTAAAGCTTACTCTGAAAATAAAACCTTTGGGTCCCCAACCATTTCTAACTAATTTTTTAATTCCATATTTTTGTAGAGATTTTTTTTCATTGATGATCATACTTACTTCCTGGTGTAACTATTACAAAATATTATCAATATGTTGCACAAATCAAACCCTAATATGCTATTTATAGCTTTTATCTACCATTAGTACTATAATCAATATCTACATTTCTTTACATTGTTTATGTTTTCTGTTTTTTTCAATAATTAATTTAACATGGATAAATGAAAGTACATTGTTGTTATAAAACCATTCTACTTTTCAAAGTTGTATAACTTGCGACCATTCCTACAATTTTATATGCAGTAACAATTTATGTAACATACTTTATTCTTGTATGGGCAGAATGGTCATTGCTATAAAAATGGAAATAGAATAGTAAAACATATGAAGACATGAAAGTACATTGCTATTACATTCTTCTTATTTTTTTCTCAATTAATAACATTTCATATTTAAATTACTTCAATACTGGTTGTTTCACATATCAAATTACTTTGGCATTCCGTTGAACTGATTGTTAGTATATTTATTTATTTATTTATTTTAATAATACGCACTTTATAAGATTCTGTGTATAGTGTTTATTATGTTAAGTTACAAAAATTTATTAAAGTCTTTATATGTAAGGCCTAAAAGTTGAATCTTTATATAAGTTCATAAATATCATACAGCTTGCCTAATTGTACCCAGTCCAAATACGACCCCTGTAGTTCCAGTTTTCACATTTGCAGCTTTCCAGGCAACACCTACACATGAAAAAAAAATATTTTCATAAACTCAAGTTCCCAAATGCATAATCTATTAATCTTCATTCATTTTATTACCAATCTATATATTAAACATAGTAAAAAGAACATGAAAAATAACAAAAGTTACCTGTTGATACTACAAATCAACAAAAAATGTCGGTGACAAATTTACTTAAAAAAGGCTTCATTCTTGACATATAGATTCATGTAGGTATTCCAGCGAACAACTGGTGTGCAACAATAAAAAATAAAAACAAAATTAGAAAATGTAATCTTAGACAACAAAAAAACAAACATACCATACATCCCGTAGAGAAGTTACCTTAAAGAATGATGAAGCTGTGAAATCGGAGATTAAATCCGATGGCTGGTGGTTTACTCAATAATTCATGTATATTCGGATCACATATCAAATTATTAAAAAATGAATTCCAGCCCCCTCAATGATTCATATATATTCTGGTAAGCCCAGTTTGGTAAGCCCAGGAGAAGATCACATATCAAATTACTAAATTTGTCCGATTTCTAGTAAGCCTAGCTTGGCATATTCTTCTGATCACATATAATAATACTATTAAATCATAAATAATTATTAATGTACTATTTCAAGTCCCCCACCCAATGCTGAACTTCAGGTATATCCATTTTGAACTTCAAGTCCCCCACCTAATGCCATTTCAAGTCCCCCACCTAATGCTGAACTTCAGGTATATCAATGGTTCTTCTTTCCAAAATGAGAATACAATGTATTTATCATCAAGAAGTTGAAATTGTAACTTTAAAGAATTGCAGGTTTTAAAAGCTAACTTCAAATCAGTACCTGCTCAAAACACTTTAGAGATGGAGTTGCATATCGTCACCACTTTTGCAGATGAGTCTACACTTACAGCTTCAAAGCTATTCTATAGTTTTGGTGTGATGATAGCTTAACCTAGGGAAACACAAAGCGAACTACAGATTTTTGGTCTACGATGGCGACCAATGGGACAGGCATGCTGGCACCCCGAAACACCAGTAAGTATAAATATGATATTATGATATAATTGCAAGAATTAAGAGATAAGTACCATGTTGTTGAAAGTTTCGCGTACTAAGTCATTTGTTCCCTCGAGGTGTACGCATTCAAATGGCCTCCCATACTCTCAATTTCGTCCTCCAGATCCGTAACCGACCTTTTCGATGTCCCTTTAACTGAGTTTGGAAATTGACAGAGTAAGAAGATGAGTAATACAAAGGTTTACAGACTTGAAATCAGATTACCAGAAACCATATAATTATACACTTATTATAAGCCTGGTAGACATAACAACATGGGTTATAGACGTGAAAATTGAGTTTCGGAAACAAAAATTTAAGAATCATTCTTTTCAATTAGGAAGTGCGTTCATAGAAAGAGGCCAGACTGTGTCGATGATCGATAATGGTTGAGTAGACGGCGATGTCGCCACTTATGGACCATGGTGGAGTGGTTGTGGTTGTTCTCTTCCGTCTCAAACTGTGTTCGTGCATCGATCCACACCCTAACGGTAGCCATCTGGGAGGGTAGATTAGAGTCTATGGCAACACGAACACAGTTAGGAAGAGTGGTAACTCGAGTCTCGGGGTAGGTGAGGATATATGTCTGATTGATTAGGGTATGGTAAGGGGAGTTGTGTTTGAGGAACCTAGGGTCGGGGTTTTTGAGTCGCTTGAGCTTCGATTTGATTTCTTTGGCAACGCGATCGTAGATCATTTGATGAGGATTTGGTAGAGTTGGTGTGGACGTGTGGGAGACGCTAGAGACGACGGTGGCAGTTGAAGCGGATCCGGAGATGGTGTTGGTGGCGGCGATTGGTGGGGCGCTTTTAGGGCTTGTGGGGGCCGATGATTCTGAAACCCACTTTCTAGGGTAGGAGTTGGTGGAGGTCAGAAGAAGAAGAGACAACCGTTAATGGAGATTTCTTGAGCGCAGGAAGGAGGTGGTATGAGGCGGTAGGTTCCTGTGGATAGTAGAGTATACCGAAATAATAGAGACAGTTCTGGAAGGATGGAACACGGTGACCATTGTGAAGACGAAGAAATATAGAAACACATAAACATGAAATACAGAAATCGAAACCTGATTGGTCGATAAAAAGGTGAAGCAAATCCAAAACGACACGTGTACACAAAGAATATACAAAATGGCATAAAATGACCTCTAAAAGAAACGAACCAGAATTGTAACCACACACACACACACACAAACACACACACACATATATATATATATATATATATATATATATATATATATATATATATATATATATATATATATATATATATATATATATATATATATATATATATATATATATTAATTTTGTGTTGTTATTTAGTATATACTTTGAGAATCTTCAGACAACGATTTACGACACGACATGTTGTGTGGAACTTGAAACGTTTTTGTAAGAAATGGAAAGCACCAAGTGATACATGAGGAAACGAGGGAAACGAAGATAATGACAAGTCCGACGATGATTAGTTAATGTTTTGTTAAACTTTGCATAACATATAACTTTATAACATTTTTGCTACTTAATGCAGTATGCATTACATATTTATAACACTTTTCGTACATAATTTGGCATGTCATATTGTATCCATTTTTCCTACAATTAATGGTTCATGTTTTTAATGTTTCGTATTGGTTTTTCTATCCCCCATTGAGTATTGTAAAGCTCGAAATTCAACTCGAGCATTAGTTTTATGCTCGGGCTCAAGCTCGATAAAGTAATTTAAACTTTTGAGGTCGCCTCGACTCGAATCAATTCACTTTTAAAATAATAAAGCTAAATTAAATTTCAATATAGATATGATTAAGCTCAGGAGCTCAACTCGACTCAGCTCGAACATGTAGGATACTATTAAACATGAGGGTAAAAATATAAATACAACTAATATCGTGAGCTTCACGAGGTGAGTATTCCCGTACTCGATTTCGACTTGATTATAATCGAGTAACTCAAGCTCAAGCTCGACTCGATACCAATCGAGTCGGTCTCAAGTGTAACACTCTAAATTTCCAAACAAAAATTTTTCATTTTTAAAACCACATAAAACCCAATATCACATTTCCCAAAAACCAGAAATGTATAAGTTGTCAAAACACAAGTCAACAATTGTTTGATAATATCCTAGAATCCTCAAAAGCATAATCTCTAACTGGTGTGTATACAATCAAGCCAACGCCTTCCCACGATCCTGAGAAGTACCTGAAACACATATCACACAAAACTGTAAACACGAAGCTTAGTGAGTTCCCCAAGATACCACATACACAAATAATAAGCCTCTCATGGCTATAGCTCGGCATGGACCCTCCGACCATGCGTCTCAGTGAGGACCCTTTGGTCTCACAACTCGGTATGGACCCTCCGGTCATGTGTCTCAGTGATGACCCTCCCATCTCACAGCTCGGGTCGGACCCCCCAGTCCGGTATCTCAGTGAAGACGCTCCAGCCTCACAACTCGGTTTGGACCCTCCGCTCCTAACTTAATAAAGCACAAAAATAGTATAAACATAAATCACAAAGACAAAATGCATGATATCACATAACTCAGTATAAGCACATAAGACCCTCCGGTCAATAACTCAAATAAGACCCTCCGGTCAATTACTCATATAAGACCCTCCAATCACACAGTATTACCACTCAGGTAAGTATAGTGAGTAGACTCACCTCGCAAAGTAAACCAATATATGTTGAGTTTGAGCACTACAACACTCCTATGGTGCACATGCAACCGTAAATGCTTTGGATCTATGTTTTCTCTAATTATACATGCATATTTTCAATTTTCCAAAGCATTGTCCTAACTAGCATACATTTAAACAATTGAATGATACAAATAGTTAGATGACTTACCTCTTAAAAGGACTTGTAGTTCTTGACCTTTGAAAGCTTGAGCACCCCAAGTGTGATGCCTCTAATGGTTCACAAACACCAATATGCAAGAGGAGGCTTGAGAGAATAAGTTACTTGCACAAAATCAATATCACTCTACAAGAAACTTGTGTCTAATGGTGTAACCGATTTTTTCCATAGGGGGGGTTCTATTTATAGTGTGGCAAATGTTCGGGTTACACTTTGTAAACCCTAATGACCTTTCATATTACTTAGGATCCATGGGTTAACCTCCATGGATTATCTCATTGGTTTAGCCATCCTATATAACAATAGATCATTAGCCCACTATTAGAATGATTGATTTACACAATCAATCCCCATACATTTAATTAGTCTCTTTTGATCACAAAATTAATTCCAAATTAATTCTTGATCCATACTAATTAAATAATATGATTTCATATTAATATATTATACTTGTAATATATTAATAAATCATAAATAACCTTATTCTGAAAAGTCCATCCTATCAAATTGCATTGGTGAAGGCAACCCAAAAGGACCATGCTACAATCAGCTCAAGTACATCCCAATTATAGTTATGGGCTTAGACACCAAATCCAACAGTCTCCCACTTGTATAAGTCTAATGACTATCGATGGCAATGCGACTTCAGGATCCAACTTAGCAACCATAAGCTTTCAAAAGCCGCTTTCGAACTTTTGACCTAGTCAGTGACGCGTCCTTCATATAAGGGATCATATAGTCCTCTATTCTCAAGATATCTATGCGGACAAATACATTGAACATAGTCATACTTATTGTCCTGCAATTTGTTTCCCGATTTCCGATTCGTCTGACATAGAACATAACTGAACACATCAATTTAGTTTTGATCGGGCTCGACACATAGTCAAAACAGAATCATCGAGAGGCCCAAGATATCGCTTTTAATCCTCTTAGGATAAAAGGAACATATAAACTTCGACATTATATGTTTGTACTAACTACTCATTAAGTCATGCACACTTATACGTCTTATAAAATCAAATTACTGATGCATTTTCGTATCATCAATGCACAACCAACTCGTAGTCAACAACTCATATATCTTAGTTTGAAGTTTATATGATATTATCGTTTCATAATCACTTGTGATAAATTCCATGAAGTGATTCAGGTGAGCACGGGTTGAATCCAATACTCAAATCTTATTTAAGGAGCACTAATGAATGGTGTAGCAAACTTTTTCTATGTCTAACGCCTTAGACAATCTACAAGCCAACTCATGACAGTCTTCTTTCATACTTACTTCCAATGTATGATCGATTTCATATAGTTTGAATAACCTAGTTATTCGGGAAGTCAAAACATGCAAAGTGAAACACAAGAATAATACTAATCATATATGGCCCCAAAACTTTTGAGTGTAAATAAAACACCTTTTATTTAATCACCATATTGATTACACATTATTCGTTGTATAATGTTTCAATTTATCAACTTAATATTTGAATTAACACAATATTTATCCCATGCTCCAAGCATGCACACTATGTTTGCCTATGGTCCTTACTTTGTGAAATAGATCAATTCTAAACATTTCCAACGATACTCATTTCACAATTCCAAATCCTTATCGTAAATGTGAGAATACCAAGTTCTTGCCACTTATTGTAATTTGTTAAATTTTAAACTTATATGCAGTGATCATTTTGTAATGACTATGTATACAAGTCACAGAGACTTTGTCAATTACAAAACTTTCCATTGGAGATTGTTGCAAGAAAATTCCATAGATCCAAAGTATCATATTCAAAGCACATTCCTTTAAACATCCTTATTGCATAAAAGTTTCTAACTTTCTCATAGATTCTTGATATCCAACTCCCATTATGGAAACATTTCCATATTTGCCATATGACAACTCATTGTTAATAGAATCATGTCTATTCATAATAATGTCAATATGGTCCATCCATCACTATACTTCCAACTATCCATAAGCAATCAATCTTTGGCGAACCTTGGATTGTTCTTAACAACTTTTTAATAAAT